GCCCGTCTGTCTCAGTGTTTATCAAAGAGACCTTTTGAATCAGAGTGAGACATTATCTCATCACTTGAAAAGGCTAAAGTATCACCAACTGCAACAAAAAACAAGTCTCGACGACGTTTGAAATCGGACAAACGGCGGTTGTGTTCAAAGTTTACATCATTTGGGGCTGTTCTCTTTTCTTTTCACGCCTGACAGTGTTAAAAGTTTTCTTTTTTCCTCTTTCTTCACTTTTGATTAAGCCACCACCAACGTCAGTACGTTTTTTGACAAAAAAGTACTGTGATTTTCATCTCACTATGCTTCAGCACTAAACTGATGATCTCCCCTTTCTAACTTGGTGTGAGAGAGACTACCTCTACATGTCATCTCGGACAACGCCAGTTTCCTCGGACTGTTAACTGCTGCTTACTGTTGGTGGCTTGCACTAGTGGTGCTGATGACAGTGGTAGAAGCGCCGCCAGCTGATAAAAATTTCCCTCGCACTTGTTCTCTCTCGCATTATTTTTTATTTTGTTGATACCGCTTGCTCTTTCTTTCTGGCTGCCAGTTTATCTGAAGAGAGCTTATATTTCTACCACCACCACAGCCACCACAGCCGCCAACAACAGGCACTCTCCAGTCAGACCATTCTGTCGAACCGAGGGTGAAGTACCCTCGCCACCACCAGCCAGTCAGTCTGTTATCAGTGCACAATTCACTACAAATCAACTCGGAAAAACTGAAAACCCCAACCAAAAAGCCACCAATACCGTTGATAGAGCTGTTCAGTGTGTGTTGCCACCTCTCCACTGAGAGGTCATTGCTGCCAACGCTTTCCTCTTGTGTCACCCCAGTGTACATTTAATATATTTTTGTTTTGAAATAAAAAACAAAGTGTTGAAAAATGGTTCGAAAAAGCAAATCAAAACAGCGACCGGAAAATTGTCTGATTTGTGGAGACAAGAGCATTGGCATAAATTTTAACGGTAAAAATTTATTTGATGGCAAAGATTTGCAAAGTGATAAAATCAATACAAACCTTGTTTTTAATTTTTCTAGTGCCCAGCTGTATGAGTNAATTTATTTGATGGCAAAGATTTGCAAAGTGATAAAATCAATACAAACCTTGTTTTTAATTTTTCTAGTGCCCAGCTGTATGAGTTGTCGTGCTTTTTTCCGTCGAAATGCTTATCGAGAAGAGGTAAGTAAAATGTCTTGTTTCTTACCATATCATTTCAATTAGCAACAACATTCAATATTTGTCAACACCAGGAAATGAAGTGCGCTTTTAGTGACTCTTGTAAAATTGATCAAATAACGCGTAAATTCTGCACCAAGGTAAAATTGTGAAATATAAACTTGTTCAAAAAATTAAAACAATTTAATTGTTGACAGTGCCGTTTAACTAAATGCTTCCAAACCGGAATGAAAAAAGTAAGCGAACAAACTTTAAAATTAGTTTTTATTTTTTATTTGTTATTTTAAAAAACCAGGAATGGATCCTCACCGAAGAGGAAAAACAGATGTACAAGGAAAAGATCATCCGCAACCGTCTTCGCCGAGAGCAGAAGGAAAAACTGGAGAAAATTGACAAGAAAGCAAAGAGAAGGAAAAAGTCGCGCAAATCGTCCACTTCAGTCTCTGAGTGCTCAATGTCTAGTCGATCATCTTCTACCTCATCTTCATCCTCATCCTCTTCAACCTCAGAAGACCCATCTTCACCAGACGGCTTCTTTGTGCCAAATTTTGCCTTAGTTCAAAAGTCGAAAACACCAGAAACGCGGTCTTATCAACATCAACAGCACTACCCTCTGCTGTCTGCTCCTTCAGCAGCAGTAGCAGCAGTCAACTTGGAATTGTACAGCACACACCAGTCTTCTGATAAAACAAGACATGCCTTTTTAGGCTACGTCGACCCAATGATGACAGGAATGGCAGCATCGCCGCCGCCGCCACAGGAAACCATTGATCCGTCGTTACTACCGATGTTGACAGATAACAGCATAGGCTTTGATGGCGGTTTCTTCTTCAACAACATCGACGATGATGATCCGCTGAACATGATGGATGACATGCTGAACTACGTCACTGCGGAAGAGCACTGTCACCCGTTTGGTGATAGCGATGACTTTTTGTTTACTTCAGTCACAACCACAGCTTCAACTGACCAGCCCTGGTCCATCGTCGACCTAGACACCAATCAGACAAAAGTGGTCAACCAAGGAAACTTATCATCTTTGAAAAATTCAAAGTTTTTAACTCCCATTTTACCTGAAATAACTAACTCTTCCTCAAATAATGCCGACTACTTCCTCACCTCACTCACTTCCTCAAATGTCAGTGAAGAAGAGCCATGCTCCGAAGATCCGCTCGTCGAGTCGTTGCACTATCAGATCAACCCTCTGGAAACGGATGACGCCATGTTCCGCGAGATTGGCTTTCCCACCCGAGAGCTAATTCTCCTCGAGAAATGCCTCATTCGCGAGCTGTCCTCTGCCTGTGCTGTGCTGCAAAATCCCTACCACCAGATTCGTGACATTAGTAGTCAGAAAAAGTTGAAGCTGCAGACAGACGACCTCCTCCTGACGCAGCACTACTTCTTTCGCATGATTCGCATGGCCAAGGGGCTGGGCTCATTTTCCACCTTTTCCACCAACGATCAGGCAATGATGCTCAAGCAGCGGCTGCTGGAGATGGTCGCTATCAGGTCGGCACTTTTCTACCATCCCGATCGAGAGTCCTGGTGCTTTATTGATGTAATTTTTGCTGCAGCAATTGAAGTTTAGAAGTTTTAGTTTTTAATTTGCTTACTACTTTTGCAGGACAAATCAAAGGCCTCAGTGATGGTCCCCATGAGCACCATTCAGCCGTACTGTCGTTTGGAGTTCAGTCGACACGCCAAGTTTCCCGACCTTTTTCGTGAGGAGTGGAAACGGGACAACATCATCTTTGACCTGTTGACGACAATCATCCTCTTTTCACCTGGGGATGACTACGCAAATAAAGATAAAATGAAGTAGGTTTTTTGGTTTTTTGAGAACCCAAATAACAAAAAATACTGACACAAACTTTGTTTTTTAGAGAAGAGCACCTGCGCTACACTCGACTGTTAAGCCGATATCTGGAAATCAAGTACAACACCTTTACAGAAGCGGAAACCTGCTTTAAAACACTGATGGGCACTGTAGAAGAGATGCGACTGCTGATCAGCGACATTCGGCGTTTCTTTCGCAGCTCCAACATCTCACGAGAAAGTCCGCTTTTCACCGAAATTTTTGACCTTACAACAGATAGTGTGCCTGCTATTACAAATGAGTAACATGAAACAGCTTTTTGACTTTAGATGTGTAATAAAATTATTAAAACAAAAATTTTATAAAATATAAAAATTTTTTAGTGATTAGGCAGTCATTAAATTAATTAAAAAAGTTGCAGTTATGGTTAGAGAAAGTTTGTATAAGTGTGCTTGTACTTTCTTAAAATTTGTAATTTTGTTTCAACTCAAAAAGTTCATATATCGTTTGCATGTA